TCAGCAGAACTGGTTTGGCTAACATTTATTGAGCACTTATTATGTACCAGGCACTGTGCTAAGCACTTTATATGCTAATTCTCACAACAACACTATGATGAAGTCCTACCATTTACGGCTGTTTTATGGATGACTAAAATGAGCTCCAGATAAATACAACTGCCCAGGTCTCATAACTAAAAAATGAAGGAGCTGGGAGTCAAATACAGGTGTGTCTGACTCTAAAGTCTGAGCAAGTAGCACTGCACTATGTTGAGGGAAGAGTGGTGTCCACAAAAGTGGCTGCCTGTTGACCTGCCGGATGAGGCAGACTGCTCATGTGAAGTCGGAGAACGCCAACTGACCATGAGACCCTCCCACTAGGTCATGGGTAACAGATGCCACAGGGCACCGTGATCTAGCCGATGGATCAGGTTACAGATAATAAAACCATGTCACTGGAGGTGGAGGTTTCTTGCTCACTGTTCCCGCTACAGCTGGACAGTGGGCAGTCAATTATATCAACTGCATGAGCTTGTTGGTTACGGTTGATCACTTCAAGTGTCAGGTCGTAACCGAATGTAGAAAGAACATGAATTCCACGGGTACCAATTCAGGCTCAAATCTGGGCAGTGCCCAGAGGTGCTTTCATCTCTAATTAGTTTTCATGAATACTGGTTACAGAAAGGACTAAATAATATCCTACAGTAAATGCTCAAAATTTAAAACAAGACAAACAGAAATGAAAAAACTTTTTTTATATCTTACCCACATGGAAAGCTACTCTTGGAAAAATGAGTGGATCAAAATGGACCTTAACAGTCATCTAGCTCAATTTTCCATCCTCTAAAAACATCTCATCTACAGCAGCCCCAACAAGTAAGATCCAGCTCCTGCCTGCATTCCTAGTCCTGGGCACTTCCCAGGGTAAACCATCCCACCGTTAACTAGCCTGACAGATGTTCTTCCTTTTACTGAAGTGAAACTTGCCTTCCTGTAACCTACTCTTTGGTCCTCATTTTGCCCTATGGAGACATAATTTATACTTATTTTCTCTTCCCCCTGACAGGCTTCCTAATATTTGAAAACAGCAGGTCTTCGTGATCATTTCTTTCCTGCAGGCTAAACACACAAGCCACTGTTCCTTGACTAAAGGCCAGGGTGCCACTGTCCCACCAAAAGCTAAATATATAAGACTCAAAGTCTGATGAACACAAGGAAAGTGAGGCTATTTCTGCCAGTGATGAAGACACTGACATTCTTTACACACTATACTGGTTCCCTTGGCATTTGTATTACACTGTCGATTCATTCTTAGCTTGTAGCTAGTGAAAACCTCTAAACCTTTTCTCAAGTGAGCTGTTGTTATTGAACAAGGTGAACTCCCAATCTGTGTTACTGACTGAAAATACGTGTTTGTGAAATAAATTATTTTGCAAGATATGATCCCATCAGGATCACTATGAAGCTGGTGGAAAGCCAATTCTCACCACTTTCATAAAAATTACTCTACATATTTTCTTCAGATCATCTGGCACATGCAATCCAAAAAAACAATTTGTTACTTACTCATTAGCATTCAAGCTAGCTGTGGCTCTGATGATCATGTAGCAGAGTGTGAGAGCACTGAGGAGGCCAAAACTGGCAATAATAAACCATTCTTCTGTTGACAAAGGAAAGGGAGGAAATCACTCTGGGGAGAAGGTTTAAGTCAAATCGATGTCAATATTTCCCTCAAATGCAACGAAGCAGACTTCAACGGAGGTGTAAGCCAAGACTGGCCCAAAGAAGTGAAGCAGGAGGTGGTTTGCCAGAGAGCTACTAACTGGAGAAGGTTAGTGGAAGGACTGGTGAAAGCTGCAAGGGAGAAAGGAAAGCATGGCCCAACCATTTATTCCAGTTTAGGTCCTGAGGTACGTGAGAACTGTGGCCACCAAAAAGTGTACAGTAAAAATATGTACGCGTGTATCAATTGCACATGGACATAGAATTTTTTCATTGTAAAATTAAATTACAATAAAATAGACTAACCATACTTAATAACCTTTCCTTCTTCATTTTGTCATTTCTGCATGGTTATTATCACTCAGTCTTAGAGAAAGGCTCAGAAATATGGAGTGGGGGTTCTCAAAGTTCTTTTGGCTACTCCAAGCAGTCTGCAAGCTAGGCTTCCAGGGCATTCATGCCTGCATTCTTTTCTCTTATGCATGGGCTCACTTCTGATAATTACATAAAAAGGACATCTCACTGGTGTCTCAAGAAAACAGGTACTACCACTTGCAACCTCACTGCTGGGAAGCAGCACTAGTTGTTCTAATTTTGTCCAGCAGAAGTAGGAAGGGTAGGTAATTGACAAGATACTTGGCCCACCAAAGTTGAAAATCTCTGGTACACAGAACTCTAAGGGTTTTTATCTAGTCTGTCTTGTGTGTGTGCGCTCTCTCTGTCTTTCTCTCTTTACACATCCAGGAAGTCAGTTAATACTTTCTCTTAACTTTTCAGAACCTGTATTGTCAAGGTAACATTTTAAAAACAGTGTTTCCTGAGAACCTCAAAAACAAACTGAGAATGAATCTGACTTCCTGGAAAGTTTTAACTATAAAATATTTCTTAGAGTATGCACTAATTAGGGCTGGTTTAACAAAGTGTTACACAGTAAAATGCCTTGTATATCTGTAATAAGGCAGGGAGAAGACATATTTACACTTGAGATGCCAAATGTTTTCTATACTAAAGCTGTGTATAACATGGGTGTTTCTTAATCTGGGTTCCATGAATCCTAAAACTACATGCAAAATTGTGTACATAGGCATTTTTCTAGAAAAATATTATTATACTTCTATTAAATTTTAAACATGGTGACCTTCAAAAGGTTAAGATAACTGCTCTTTGGGATTCCAGGATGCTGAGTTCATTCTATGAGCACTTCTCTGCCCACCTTGGTTTACATTACTAAAATGCTTAGTAAACTTTCTTTTTAGATAACAGTGCAGCCACTGTCTCCTGGGCTATAAATTTCCTCAACAATAGACTGAAGCTTTTCATTGACATAACGTATATTCAAGAATCCATATAAAATCCACCATTTTAATCTGTATGTATTTTAAGTTAGGAAAAATGTATACTGGCATTTAAAAAAAATCAAGAGATGAGCAGTCATCAACATCAAGGAGCTTAACACAGCATTCTTTTTTTTTCTTCTTAGAAACTTTTATACATGATAAGCAGAATAACTTTTAGAACTTCAATTATGTCTATGTTATACCATCCTGTATTTGCATGTCTTTTTTTTTGCATGTCACTTCAGTTATAAAAGCTAGTAACCAAAAAGAAGTAAACACCATCACAATAATACTCAACGGGCCCAATATTTTCGCAGCGATCCCACTGTATCTGGGGCCTCGGTCACCTCTGCCTCCCCAGTGCTTATTTAGCACAGTGCCTTGCACACAGTGGGTGCTGGTTGAATGCATTGTAGTTGCTATGGTGCTACAGAGCTTTGGAGGGAAAAGTACGGATAGCTTTGGTCTAGTCTGACCACATGACTTATTAACATCATGTGTAAATTCTGCTAAAGGTGACTGATTTGGTACATGAAGTGATATTTTTTAATCACCAAAACATAAAACTTTGAGAGGACATTTCTACGTGAAATATAATGGGGTCAGTATTCAACGTAGTAGTAGTAGGTGCTCAATAAATGTCTGATCAATGAAGGACCTATAAGAACTTATTAATAAACAACCTTTGTCTCCTTTATTGCTACTAGATCAATTTCTTAAAATCCAGACCATAAAACCTAAATGCCAAAGTAGAAAAACTATGAAATGTTATTAAAACAAATCATTGGGAAATGGCAAGAAATGAGCCAAGCTATATCAAAGAATAGTTTTACTTATTCCATAACTGAACGAAGGTTCTTTGAGTTTAAACAAATGATAGACTAAGAACTGGGAAATCATTTTCTAATAATAATTTCTGGTTGGTTAAAAACATGTACACTTCAACTGAACAGACCACATGAGTCTTAACGCGTGAAAGGGAAAAATGTTTCTTAATAGCTTTACCCGTTTTACTGACTCCCAGAGCTAAGCGGAGTCCCGTCAGCTTCAGGCCTTTAAGCTCTAGGCAAGCGACAGCATATACTGGAAAAGGCAGCACGAGTGGCGACAAGGACAATGAGTGAAAGGTTGTTAGATGAAAACAACATGTAAAGAATGGAAGTGAAGAAAAGAGCTGTCTGTCACGGTGAATGTCTACAACGCCCATACACACGTTGTCAGCCCACTCACACTCACCGTAGGCATTGCCATCAGAACACTCGGTACAGTTCTTTTCTGCTTGTCAGCAGTTCAACAATCATGACATTCATAACTAGCTCAGACCATTTTCTTAAGGCAGATTATCCTTTGGCTTTTCTTCCACCTCATGTACAAATATACCAAAGAATCAAGAACCAAGAGACCAAACTTCCATAAAAAGTGTAAAATCAGGTCAAGGGTTCAGATTCCCTTACCAGCCAGCCACTGGGGGAAAAAAAAAAAAGTGTAAAATCAAGTGAGCAACATCAGGCCATCTCAACGGTTCCTACAGTTGAGAATTTTTATGTTCAAATTAGCTTTTTCCTGAGTTGCCTGTAGCCCGGGAGATGGAGAGCACCTGTGCCCGCACCGCTCCACACACCGGCAACGCGGCTGATGGGCCGTGTCCCATTCGGTCTCCCCTGAAAACATCTGTTTGCAAGACAAAGATTTCAAGGTTTATAAAACAGCTACTAAGACAGACCTCTGAACATCCACTCATCAAATGCAGCTATTCCTATTAATTATAAACAAAGCTCTTTATTATAAAGAGAGTTTTGTCATTCCAAATATCTGTTTTAACAAAAGTGCATGTTACTCTTCCAGTTACAGACTAAGTCGTTGGCCGAGAAGATCACCTCAGCTCTCCTCCTGAAGTCACCGCATGCCCACCGCGAGCAGCAACGCTGCCCTGTGTCTGGGCAAAAGGCCCCCACTTACTTGTTACTGCAATGTTGATCTCTCCCGTTCTAGGAGTGAGTTCCCCATCCTGGGGAAGAGGTGATATGCCCGAAGTTCGAAGAGGCTCAAGGCCGAGGGAGTTGTCACTGGTGAGGTCACCTAGGGCTGATCTTCGGTTAACTGCCTGGGTTCTGGTGAGTCTTTCCATATCAAATGCTACGTTTTCAGTACATGGCAAATTTGGCTGCAAAATATTTGCAGATTAAAAATAACTGTAAGAATAACAAATCCTTTCATAAAACTCTAAATGGCTGATACCCCATCACGAAGACTTCAAAATTTTTCCATGCTATTTTCTCTTATTTCTCTGCCCATCTATCTACTCTTTCTAACTCTCATCCAACAGCTTGTCTTCAAAAGGAACATCTGATCTCCTCCCAAAAATGGTGCAAAGGAAAACAAAAATCCATTGCAGAACTGAGAAAATTGGCCACTGCATCTTTATCAAGAAATGACAATGTTTTGTGGACATGCCTCACAGGCAGAAGGAGTCATAATCATCATTATAAAACTGACAAACATTCAATTTAAAAATCAATTAACTGTATTACCTTTTGGTTAATGTTAAATGTCAATGTTGAAGTATAGCAGGTAAAATGAAATACCCCTTTTATTCTATTAACTTCTCTGTAATATGCCCCCTTTATTTGGTAGTTGGTATTTTAGAATCTTCTATCTTTAAACAATTACATTTTGCAATGATGGATATGTTTATTATCATGATTTGAACATCACATATTGTACACAAACACCCATAGTATACAGCCCACAAATATGTATAATCAATTACATTTCAATAAAAATTTAAAAACATAAACACAGGTAAAGCACATGACCAAGAGCAGATCAAAGTTGAAAAGACTTCTAAACTATAAGAAACTACGTTTCAAAATCTAAGCACCTAAACCTAAAGGAGAGGTATAGAGCAGCTTGGGGCCAAAGTCTAACAATTAAAAAGTGGGTATAAAAGTCTCCTGATTTAACAATAAGGATATTTCGTTTCCCTAGCAACTTTTTGGTTCTGTTAGCATGTAGCACACACCATATAAGCAGAGTTGGGAAAAGAGGCTGAGAAGTTTATATGGTGAGAAGTGACAACCAACCAAATCTAGAACCAATGGCTTCTTGGGCAATAGAATTGTTTTAAATAACTTCAAAGCCCCTTGTAAAAAAAAATTACAGCACAGTGTAATAATTGATGCTTATAATGACACCCAGTTAGAAGAAGTTTATGTTCATTATATTTAAGAAACCATGGTAGATTGTGATACATTTTAGAAGGATTTTCATTAGAAACTGAGGGGGGGAAATATTAGCACTTAAAAGAACAGACTTGGCTGGCTGGTTAGTTTGGTTGGTTAGAGCACAGTGCTGCTAACACCAAGATCAAGTGTTCAGATCCCCACAAAACTGAAAAAAAAAAGAATAGACTTAAAAAAAACCAAAACACAAAGGCTAGCAGCAATGACAGAAGTGTTAATACTTTCCAAGTGTCTTCTGTGTGCTGGGCATCATGGCAGATGCTCTATGCTAAACTAGTCTCAAATGGAGGTCTTTGCCTCCAGGGGGCATTTGGCAATGTCTGGAGACATTTTTGACTGTTGTGACTGAGGTATCATGCTACTAGCATTTAGTAGTAGAGGCTAGGGATGCTACTAAATAGTCGCCAATGCACAGGACAGCCCTCATAAGAAGGAATTATCTAGTTTGAAGTGTCAATAATGCCAAGACTGAGCAAACCTGTTAAACTACATCACTGACATGATCTCTGGAGAAAAGGATAAATGGGGTATTAATACCCAACTACACTGCACTTAAATTGGGATTTGATAGTATATTTAAAATAAGACTTTTTTGGGTTGCAAAGCCAAAATGAGGAGTTCATATGTTGGATCAAACTAAACCTTTTGTTCCATAAGGAAATTACTCATTCACTCTTTTTTGAAGCCAGAAAGTATTTTATTTTCCTTTAAAACGCATAACCCTGGATACGTAATTCTCTTAAGCAAGGAAAGGAAGGACCCAAGTTCCTCAGTTAGTCTGTGTTGACCCAGCACCTGCCATGGCTAACCTATGTGGCATACCTGGTTAAAGCCCTTGCCAGATTGTTAAAGGTTCTCCTAAGGCTTTGGTCACCGCCCATCTTCACTGCTTGCAACTTAGACACCCAGGAGACCAAAGTAAACTTAAGAGGAAGGAACATAAATGATGACATAATTTTATAGTACACAAAATGCAGAAAAATTATTATTGGACCAGAGTCTAAAGTCTATAGTCTACTTTTTTTTTTTTTTTAAGACACTGGAATAAAGGAAAATCACATCCTTCTCTCTCTGTTGGTTCTTCACCCACCACCCAACAGAAGCACGCTTTTAAAAGTGGACTAGTATAGTTACTTATCTTCTCTTCCAGGAGTTCCCTGAGATGGGTTAGACTCTTAAGGAATCTGGAAAGAAGTCACTGTTGGACTAAAAACGTTATATGACTGAGCAAGCCAGTGTTTTCTTGTGAGACTTAACCATACCTCCTATTATGCCAACTGTGCTAAATTATATTACACTTAGATATGATACTACATAAAAGTAGTAACAAAGTAGGAAACATACCACAATTCCCAGGGCCTTCAAAATATTAAGTTTGCACATAGGACAGGTACAATGTTCACTAAGCCAAGGGTCCACGCAGGATTTGTGGAAAACGTGCCTATAAAATAACGAAGAATTATGTCACAAATTATATACTGAAGAACTATTAGGCCAAAATGGGAAGAAATGGGACTTTTAGTTAGTTTAGTCTGTTTTTCCCCTTTTTAGGACATATTTGCAAGTCCCAAGAAACAAATATTGGGGATTTATTAATATACAACTTGCAGAAAATATCCTGAACCCAATCTCATATATCATTAGTACTGTGCAATGAGAACTGATAAGTAGGATTTGGCTGTTTGGACTTTTTATTCTCAGAATTCCAAAAAAGACTTGAGGAAACTTGGAAAATTTATTAAAAATGAAGATAATTGCATCTTACTAATCAGTTGTTTTCTATAAGAGCTAACAGAGGAAAATGGAATTTCAAAAACATTGTAAATAAGGGTTAAATCAAAAGACTTCTCTGAATAATTAATTAGTTTCATGGAACCATGTTTAAATGTTATTTAAAATGTTATTTTAAAACATATAATTAGGCCGGCCCGGTGGCGCACTGGATAAGTGCGCCGCTTGGGAAGCGCGGCGGCGCTCCCGCCCGAGGGTTCGGATCCCACATGCAGACCGGTTCCCGCTCACTGGCTGAGCGAGGCGCGGGAGCAGCACCGAGGGTTGCAATACCGTTGCCGGTCCCCGGTCCGGTTAATTAGGCCGGCCCGGTGGCGCACTGGATAAGTGCGCCGCTTGGGAAGCGCGGCGGCGCTCCCGCCCGAGGGTTCGGATCCCACATACAGACCGGTTCCCGCTCACTGGCTGAGCGAGGTGCGGTGGCAACGCCGAGGGTTGCGATCCCGTTGCCGGTCCCCGGTCTGGTACGGGGGCAACACTGAGGGTTGCGATCCGTTGCCGGACACAGAAAAAGACAAAAAAACAAAACAAAACAAAAAAAACCCATATAATTAAAATATAATAATTCTGAAGTTATAAAAAGCATTTTTTACAAAACTTCTAAGCAACGTACATTAAATGTTTGTAAAACTTACAGAGCAGTTGAAACTATTTTAAGGGGTGAGCTGTGCCTAAGAATCAAATAATACTTTGCTGATGATTTTCAGTTGAAATGTGAAAGGGGGAAGATGGGTGATTTTTTTCCTTATTCAGGAGAATAGAAAGTCACCATCTTTTTGACTGGAAATAAGTCATAATAAGGAGGGTTTTGCATTCTTAGAAAAGGAACTTGTGCCTCTTGGAAAGGAGAAAAGACTGAGGGAGCTGCAGAAATTATTCCTCAAGCTCAAGCACTACTGCATAGCAGCTTTGAGAAACTGCAGTGAGGCCCAATGAAAGCCCGAGAGTCCTGGCCCAAGAGGGAAAGGGTGGGCAGTAGGATAGACACTTAGGAAACCTTTGGAAGAAATATCATAATTTGAGTTTGGAATAAGGTAAAAGAAATTTTGAGAAAGATACCAAATAGAACCACGGAATGTCTTTAAAACTTCGTTAATTTTTAATTTAATGTTGTTATTTATAGCTGTTTAAAAATGCAGTTTTGACTTTAAAAAGGTCTAGAAAACACACTTAATTGATATATATATATATATTTTTTTCCTTTTTGTCTTTTTTCGTGACGGGTAACGGGATCGCAACCCTCAGTGTCGCGCCCGTACCGCGACCGGCAATGGGATCGCAACCCTCGGTGTCGCGCCTGCACCATGCTCAACCAGTGAGCGGACCGGTCTCTATATGGGATCCGAACCCTTGGCCGGAGCGCCGCTGCACTCCCAATCGCTGCACTCTACTGAGTGCGCCACTGGGCCGGCCCTTTAATTGATATTTTAAATAAACATTCATACTTACAGCTTCAGCCTGAACAATATATGACTACCCACCCATAACCACGTGATGGCCTTATACCCATTTCTTTGGGGATAAAGAATAGAGATCTTGAAGATGTAATTTACCAATCTAATCCTAAACTTGCAGATAATCCAATTAACCAGACCATCATCCCTGAAGGCTTTTATTTAAACCTTCAGGTGTTTAAGGGGCGGCAAGCCACCAGTCCATAGACAAGACGTAAGGCACTACATCCACTTCTTGCTACTTGTATCTGCGTATGCGAGCACTCCAAGAGTAAGACGAAGGGTTTCTTACTGCAGGGTTCAACCTGAGGGGGTGTCCTCAAAGCCAGTGTTCATTTTCCAGCAATAGTCAACTGTGCTAATGTTGGCTATTGCCTAACAAAAACTAGAACAAGGCTTCTTAACCCTTTTGGGGGAAACAGACCCCTCTAGACCTGATATAAATTATAGAATCTCCCCCTAAAAAGTGACAAGGGTACAGCTGCCTAATAACTTGCATACATTTCCGGGAGGCTTATGGACCTGAGAGTTTGGTTAGTTTTCGGTGGGGGTGAGGGTGGCTGGGAGGGTGCCCCAGGTCAGCTCTGTGTAGGGCAGACATGGGATTTGGCTGGCTGACAGGTGATAGAAAAGAGAGGGTTATGTGATTTCTGACTAGGGCCAACTTGGTGCAGGAGTGGGAGGTGTGCAGGTGGGTGGGGGCAGCTGGATTCCAGCCGCTGTTGGTAGAGAGCCTGGCTTAAGCAAGCAGCAGCAACTCAGGGTAAGCATTGGTTTGGCTTTGGCGCTCCCTACTCTGGCCAGTGTTTTTGCTTTTCCCTTTTCTTATTGTCCAGCCTTTCTTTTCTATTACTGGTTATTCAGAAGGAACAAAATGGTATAATGTATACTCCCCGTATTTAATTTTTAAAGCTGCAGGAATTGAGTGTTTTCTGCCTATCTGGTTCCTTTAACCTTAAATTATAAATAGATTTTTCGCAGGTTGGGTTCTTGAGTAATTGCTTCCTTGTAGTTTTATCCCATTTTACTAAACAATTTCAATCTCTCCTCTATGCTGTGGGGTACTATAATGAAAGATAACAAAGACTAACTGGTTCTCTAGGGACAAATTTAGAAAACCTTCCTGCCTTAGCTAACTCAAAAACTGAAATGTTTTCTCTCTTTTACACAAATGTTCCTTTTGGCTATCCATCCACCCCCTCACTTTCTTACGCCCACCCCCCACCCCCCTCAACCACCCCCGCCCCCCAACTCTGCTTCCTCCGACCTTTCCAGGTTCCCCATCCATCCAGCTTCTGTGCACCCGCCTCAAGATCCTCAGTCTCGAATTCCCACAGCACATCCCTCACTTCTGAAAACAAAACTGAGCAACTGTTCTCCTTACCCAGCAGCCCTGACAATCCCTCACTTGCCCTCCTGTCACCAATGTGTCCTCGTGAGTAACTGCCCTGCCCTCATTGCTTTCTGTCACCCGTTCTCTTAACCCTCTTGCTTCTGTCTCCCCAACTCTACTAAAGGCCACCAAACTCTCCGTGGCCTTTCCCTTTCTTCTGCTACTACAACTGTCAGAGCCCCAGCAAACAACCTTCCTGACTCCCAGCTGTCTCTGAAAGGCTGCGGGGGCAGTGAGCAGCGGGGAAGGTAGGCTTTGTCTACCTCCCGAGGTTGTCTGCAGCAGTACGTGGAAAACAGCATGGGGAATACTCAGAGAAGTACCAAGGACTGTGTAAACCAAAGGTACTATCAATCAGGCAGAGCAACATGAACGCCTCACCCAGCATCCAAATAAGTGGTCAGAACTCTGGCAGCACGCCTAGGCCCAGTGCACCCAGCACAGGGTGCCCCCTCACCAGCTGGAAGGCACCCCACCAACACCCACACGAGACCTCAGAAGGTGGCATCTGGGCCAGTCAGGCCTTGAAAACAAGCCCCTTCCCACTGTTGCAATGAAAGACTCTAATAATAAAAATCCACATAAAAGCAGGAAAGGGTCTGAGAGGTTTAGGGCTGAATGGTGTACTGGGATGGAAAGCAGGTTCTGTGTTGAGAAGAGGGAACTGTGAAAAGTACAAGCATATCAGACCACCAACAAAAAAATCCTTTATTCCTATAAGAAATACTTTAGGATACAGAATGCAAAACATATAGAACATAAAAGAAACCCCATAATGTTGAAATACAGTGCCCTCCCCCTTTCCTACTTCCCAAACATGCCATAAACTAGAGAGTGATCAGAGAAACGGCTGGGGGTGGGGTGAGGAGTCTACATTGAAGATGGGTTGTTTTCACAGCTCTGCAGCCTCTTGGTGCCATGTTAGAACCTGGCAAATATAAAAGGATCCAGGATTATGAAAGGTCAGAGACAAGAACTCTTCCCCCCAGCTGGGACTGGCAGCAGACACTCTGAGGCGGGGGGATCACAGTCACCCCCCAGCCAGCCAGCAGCTAGCTGACTGACCCATTTTAGTTCCCAAAGTGGCATCTTAAACATGTTCATCCAAGCTACAGCATTCTGCGTCTGAAAAAGTATTTTTAACTACTAAAAGATTTTGTGGCTAACCTTTAAATAAAAGAGGTCTAAACACGGTGACAGTTTCCTAGTTTCTGAGACATGCTGGCTGACATCCGAAGGATGATCAACTGTAATCAACTGACATAAGCAGGAGGCCCCCAAAGCAATGCCAACTGCCATCTGGCCACAATAAATTAATGCGACAGAAGATAAAAATTAAAGATCATGTGACAAAAAGCCAGCAATCCAAGAGAGGTTTAATATCTACGGGTAGAAAGTTCGGTCTCCAGGCAGGCTTGTTCACAATTAAGGACAGACACCGAGGCACCTAGGCTGTCCTCTTCTGGTCCTGAGGTGAAGAGGCAGCAGGGGCGCAGATCCTTTCCAAAGGCTGCTGTGAAGGGGAGTGGCTGTAGGGTGGTTATGGGGAAGGCAACGGGGTTGAAAGAGAGTTTTAAAAACTGGAACAGGAAATGCTTGAGCATGATTAAATGCTGATGAATAGAGACAGAACAAAAACTGGAGGCAGCAGATTATCGATAGGACAAGGTTCCTGAGGAAGGCACAAGGGTGGATGTGGAGGCTAGCATGCCCGAAGGCCTGGGGTCAGGAGGGTGTGGTGAAGCTAGCTGCTGGGAGTGCAGGATAAAGGGTGAGTTAAGGTATGCAAGGAGAAAGAAAACACCTGGAAGTGCTGTGGGGACAGCCACGCAGGGCACTAGAAAGCTCTGGGCAGTGCTCAAGGCCTAGCTGCGGTCTTTCTGTCTAGTCTGTTCAGAGTCCCTTGGGAGGGTGGTGAGGGAGCAGAGCTGCTTGGCAACGTGAGAGAGATGAGGCTGTGGCAGTCAGCACGGAGGCCCAGTTTCAAAGACCACAGAGACAAGAGGAAGGGAGCGCTATCCTAGGCAGAGGGAACAATGCAAGCAGCAACACAAGGTAAGAGATGATGCCAAGGTCCCTGAGAGGCATCCATTGGAAATAAGAGACCTGAAGAAGTTGTGGCGTAAGGATGAATATTGTGCACAGACATCCTCTAGGTCAGTGGTTCTCATCTGGAGACACATTTTGGTTGTGACAACTGTGTGTGTGTGGGAAGGGGGGTGCTACTGACATCTAGTGGGTAGAGGCCAAGGATACTGCTAAATACACTGCAATGTACCCCCACCAAACAAAGAATTATCTGGTCACAAATGTCAACAGTGCCAAGGCTGAGAAACCTTGCTTTAGGTCAAAGGTCATCACAAAATGTTCACTGTGTAAAGTCAACCTTCACTACACCTGTGAATCATACTGTTGTTAGCATTTCAGTGAGATGAAATGTTTCGCCCAGTCACTTGTGCAATACAGTTCAGAGAAAGGTACAACTTGTTGAGTCTTGAGACATAAGAGTAACAAACCAGCCAACGTGGAGAACTGCTACACAGTCAGGGCAACAAGCACATCTAGTCAAATGAGGGCCTAGTGGTGAAAGACAACTCAGTGAACAGTGCCATAACCCGGTGTGCAGGGAAATTCCATTAAGTTTCCCAAAAGTCATAATATTCAAAAGCAGACCACAAACACAAAGGTTGAGAACCACTTCTCTAGTGGTAGGTGAAGCCACAAAAACGGTTAAGGTCAACCAAGGCTCAGGATCTCAATGGAGGGCATGGCCTTGCAGCATCAGAATCACTCAGGAACTTAGTAAAATTAATGTGTCCAGGCTCTCCTTGGGGTATTTCTGAAAGCCCCCTCAATGACGCACAGTCATGTAGGAAAAGCACTGGACTAAATCCAGTGAAAAATGAGAAACTCAGAATGAAACTTTGAAAAAGCCAGTGCTTGAGGGATCAAGAGAATCTGGGAGCAAGCTTCCTAGAAATATCTATTTGAGGATGAGGATCCTCTGAGGAAGAGACTCCCATTTTAGTAATAACCATGAGTAGTTTCAGAGGCCTTTGTTCTTAGGTATCAGATGGTTCTGGGGATCCTGAGCTGAAAGAGAATTGGGAAAGGCTTGGCTTCTTCCTGGTCATTCCAGTGTCAAAGTGGGCAATGGCTGATTATGCTTTATAATGTATACTACTGATTTTTCCCGGATTTGCATTTGTATCTGTATTTCCTTTAGCCTCACGTTTTTAGATTATAAGTGACTACAAATGAACAAAAACTGGTCATTAAATAATTTAATTTTCTGCAGGACAGCTTACCTTTAGTCTTACAGATTTTCCTTTATATATAAACTAGAATGATTTGACTTCCAGAATCCTGGATTTCTATTTCAGTATATAGAATTCTTCTTAAGTTCTATGATATTTAAAAAAAAGAAAAAAAAATCTTCCTAGGCTCAAAATAGATTATTTTGTGAATAAGAAAAATAAGACCAGTAGCCTCATGGAGACAACTACTTACGACTGTTTTATTCATTCACATGTTCCGTATTATTAGAAGCCTGGAGTTGTGTGGATCTCTTTTAAAGAAGAAAAGGGAGAAAGAAGAGGAAAAGCCTTTAGGCTTCTCAGTAGGTGATTTCATATTTTTCCAATGTCTCTCAGAATTGTATATCTTAATGTTTCACATTCTTTGGCTTGGGATAGGACCATGATAGAAATCAACATGTTTATAAGAAAATTTGCTCTTTTAGGGCACCAAAGTACAGGTAGATACTCTCCTCCTGGAGAGAAGGAAGTGGTCTTATGTAAGAAGTGCTGACATTAAAGGCCGATCTTTATATTGGCTCTGACAATTTTGAGTTGTATGACCCTGGCATCTACTATTGGCTTCATTATCCTTCACCATACAATGGGGAGAAAAACATTTACCTCTTAGGACTGTTGGGAGAATCCAAGGAGACAGTAAATATAATCTACACAGAGCAGAGTACCTGACCCAGAGCAGGCACAAAGCAAATATCAGTCCTCCCCACTTCTCCTAATCCAGGTTCAGAAAAAGATTTAACCCAAGTCCCTAGAGTTGTGGTGCCTAGAGCCAGGTGAACCCTGATTTAAGGAGGAGGAGAACAAGGGGCTGCTTTTGAAATCCACAGGATAAAAGTTCTTGACCCTGGTACTCTTAGGTTATGATGTACGTGTCTGGAGGTTGTGCAACATACTTTTCTCATAACTAGAAAAGGTTTGTGCAATGAGTTCTTGCTGAGACAGCACTGTTCACTGCTGGGTACAGCCTCCCACTGCAGGCCATATGCAGCTGCAGGCCATACGCAGCTGCAGGCCATATGCAGCTGGGCCTTGGCCAGTTGGAAAAGCTATGGGTTAGGTGACTCTCACAATCAAATGGGATACCCATTCTGAAAGTGAGACATACAAAGCACATTAATATCAGTCTTTTATAAACAAAGAAAGCTGACATACTTGCAAGGGAGAATCCGGACAACATCATTCTGCTTATAGCTCTCTATGCAGACTGCACAATGATCAAAGTCTGGGTCTGTTTCCTGAAAACAAAAAGCACAGAAACAAAAGTCACATGGTAAAAATACATAAATGGAGGAGATAGGATTCAACTAAGAATTTTCCTGTGGCAACTACAGTAAGCAAGTGGTTATAAAGTTAAAGCTATTAAAAGTAATTTAATATCTATAAATAATTTCATTCATTTGCTTAACTATATTGACCCGTATTATACCTAAGCCAACCTACTTTCTTTTAAAATTATGTAACAATCTATACTAATTGTGTTTATGATACATCTTAGAACATGTCAGAATTCTAATTTTTTTCAGGATTCAAATCAGCTATCCCCTTGGATCCTCATTATACCTCCTCCCCCCACTTCTACTACATTGCTAATTTATCTGACAGGTTCACTGCACACCCTACACAATCTGGGTCCTCATCAAGATGCTCACTGAATCACATACCTAAGTATAGGCAGAAAAGATGGTGAGCCCCAGCAGACTGCTAACTAGAGACTCATCCCAAGTATGGGAGCTGTGCATCTGGTCACAGACTTCGGAAAAGAGAAAAGTCACTGGCTCAACTCAATACTGGGTCTTTATCAAGAGTCAGGAAGGTTCAGCTAGGTTCTTGGTCACCAGGTTAAGTGATTTCCTTCCTGCTCAGGGCTGAGGAGGGGTTTTGCCTGAGTTGTCATAAAACAGAACATGCCAGGAAAGGTGAGACTACTTGCTCAGTCATTGTCACTTGGACTGAAACCCAGTGGACAGCTCCTGGCAGGTCTAGGAGGTACAAACTAAGAAGATGTGTTGTGCTAGCCTGGGGAACAAAGTTAGATGGGTAGGTCAGACCAGCTCCAGGAAATTTCAAATTAATGTGGCAGCTGAAGGCCACCAGGGCAAGAAAGCATTTATACTGGTTACCACTCCTCTGGGGTTACAGTGCAGCCTTTTTGATGCTGCCTGTATTTTCTGCAAGTCATTTTTTCCCGTTTTTTCTTTCTCTTGTGTGTAATGAAGTCTAGTGAGAATGTCTCCATCTTCTGGAGCTGTGTCAAGAGCAACTAGATCTGGTGGTGTCAAGGCAATGGGAATAAAAATAGGTAAAGTCCAAGAAAGTGGCAAAACTTGGGAAGATAGAGAATCATCAGAAATTATCCTTCCAGAGCTCTTTGCTGAAATATCAGAGTTGGGTGGGGGTCAGGAGACAGTTTTGGCTTCATGCTTTTAAAGGTGCAATTATTTTCACACTAGATAACCTTGAATGTATAGAGTGTACAGTCTAACATTAAGATGACACTTTGTCCTCATAGTGGAGAATCAGGGCTCTACCACTGCTTGAGATCTGACTGGGGAATTCCGGTCAGAGGTCTCAGCCATAGCCTCCTGTCACTGACTCTCTGTTTTGGTTCCCCTTCACCATCAGGCCCAACCCTGACGACTGTGCTCTTCTTTCAAACTGCTTAACCCACTGTGAAGACAGCGTCTTGTTAACCAAAACTCCCTAGAAATGTAGGTCTTCAGTTCTCCATTTAACTGGTGAAGAAACAAAACACAAAAGGGACGCAGCAAAGTCACAGGAGTATAGGAAAAAAATGCACATCTCCTCGCTATTTAATGTACAAACTGTCGCATTAGAATTATTCAAAAACACAGGCTAGGTTTTACCAGAAAAAAACTATAGAAAAACAAGCCAGAAAACTGTAAGTAGTCTGGTGATACTATAATGGCAAAAGCATTCAAAGTCTAGGAAAGTTAAAGTTAAAATTAAATGGCAGGCATACTAAGAACAAGATTCCAAAGAAAAAGTATTTAAAACAAAGCATCAGGTAGTATACTTGGAGAAAAACAATAATCTAACAAATGAGACACAATTAGGGTTTACTCTCTCCCACCAAACAAAAACAAAACTAGTTTATTATTTTTACAGCACTAAAGTTATTTCATTACTGTACCTTATCGCCTTTTTTCACTGTTCTGGTTGTTAATTTACTGATGGCTTTCTTGGCTGCATCTCCAAGACGACGCTATGAAAATTACAAAACAAAAAACAAAAAAACAACCAAACAACACTAAGTATAAGACCTCTGAATGATATCCTTTATTTTTAAATAATTAAATGTATAAAGTCCCTATTATCCCACATGCCATTATCCCCATGTCATATCATATTAGAGGATTCTAAATAAGCAATTAAAAATTAGAAAAATTGGGGCTGGCCCGGTGGCGCACTGCTACAGTGCGCTGCTTGGGAGTGTGGCGGCGCTCCCGCCGAGGGTTTGGATCTCACATACAGACTGGTTCCCGCTCACTGGCTGAGCGAGGTGCGGGCGCAACACCGAGGGTTGCGGTCCCGTTGCCGGTCCCGTTCCGGTACGGGCGCGACACTGAGGGTTGCGATCCGTTGCCAGACACGAAAAAAGACAAAAAGGAAAAAAAAAATAGAAAAATTGGCAGCTGTACCATAGATTTAGCATTCTGGTTGAATAAAAAGTATATATAGTGAAAAAGTCAAGTAGTATAATCACTACTGCATTTCCTGTTTAAAAAACATTTGAAATATTACAGCATTATCAAAGTCTGCTTCTTGTACACTCCAGAGCTACTGCTACTACTCTAATAGCTTTCCTATTCTGCTGTAGGGATAATCAGTATTAGATGTATAAGCTCTGTTTATTAAAAGGAAATCTCCAATGATCCCTGAAATTGCTTATCACACCATCAAGTGTGAGAGAAGGGATGCGGTCATGAGCTCTACTTCTGGCTCTGCTACCAGTACACTCTGTAATCTTAGGAAGGTGCGTTTATCTTTCTGGGGATGAATTATTCTCATTTATCTGGGAGGGTTAAGTCAGAGAATCTCTAAGGCTGGATGATCCAAATCAGCTATTACCTCCAACATTTTGCTAGACATTGCTAGCACTGCTAGACACCAATGACCCAAAGATGAAGGACAGTGAACCCCTAACCTTGAAAAGCTAACTAAACTGGAAAACAGACCTGTAAACACATTTTAATCCAATGTGCAACAGAGCATGCCCAGGGTGGTATGGCAGAACAAAGGAGGGAACCTAATGTGGGTGAGACTGGGCAGAGGAGGAATGTCGGGGAAGGCTTCAAGGAAATGATACCTGAGTTAAGAGTTGGAAAACTGAGCAGGAAAAAGTCAGATAAGGAAAAGCCTAGGGTTAGGAAGGGGGATTCTGGACAAATGAATAGTCTACTGAAGACAAACAGGAGTGAAGCACAGGTATGTAGAGGAAAGGACAGTTCAGTACAACGAACATGAGCATGGATTTAACCGTTCAAATTATAATGTTCTGTGAGTCAGAGGGCCCTGTTAATATTGCACTGGGACAACTGGTACAAATGGAGGCTATCCTAGGCACATCAGGGAAGATGGTCACTCGAGATACAACCAGATCCTGAACTGTGAGAGGAGGCAGAGGCTGAAGGAGTAAGGTGGGACTAAAACAAGAAAGACCATGGATTCTATCATGACAATAGGAGCTGGCTGGTTAGCTCACTTGTGAGAACATGTTGCTGGTAACACCAAAGTCATGGGTTTAGATCCCTGTATCGGCCCACCACCAAAAAAAACAAAACAAAATAAAATAAAATAACATGAGTATATAAAAAGAAAAATCACAAAAACATAAAAGAAAAATTTTAGGGGACATTAGAAAATACACAAATGAAAAGAAAATAATTTAGTGAATTCCTGTGTATCTATCGCCTAGCTTCAATCATCAGTATTTACCTATACTTTTCATTTGTACCCCCCTCTTTGTTGTGTTGTGTTGGATTTCAAAGCATATCACAAGAATCATATAATTTTACCCATAAAGTCTTCTCTACACATCTGTAACAGACACAAACTTTTGTTTGATGCTATTGTCTTGTCTAACAAAATTATCAATAATTAATCAGCACTATCTAACAGAGTACTCAGACTATAGTACAATTTCTGTAGTTGTCTATAGAATGTCTTTTTATAGCTGGCTTGTTGGAATCAGGATACAAAGTCCAAACATTGCATTTGGTTGCCACATCTCTCAAGCCTCTTTTAATCTACAAGAGTCCCCTGTATCATACTTTAAAAACAAAAGGAAAAAAAAAAAGGCTTATGGAGATATAACTGACCTGAAATAAACTGCACTTTTGTTTCATGACCCATGGAAACATAATTACAGTCAAGAGAGTGTACCTATCATCCTTCCAAATTTCTTGTGCCCCTTTCTAATCCCTTCCTCCCAACACCCTACCACACAATCCCTCCATGACCTACTTTCTACCACTACAGTTTGTGTTTTCAGTTTTATATAAATGGACTGTTAGGGTATATACTATTTTATGTGTGGTTTCTTTCACTCCACATAATTGAGATTAATCCATGCTGTTGCATGTATCAGTAGTTCATTCCTTTCTTATGCTATATAGTAGGCCATCGTATAGCTATACCACAATATATTTATCCTTTCTCCTGTGGACATTAGCATTGTATTCTAGTTTTTTACTATAAAGAATGAAGCTGATAACATTCTTTACCTGTACAAAGACAATACAAATATCTGTAAGGACACATGCTTTCTTTTTTCTGGGGTAACACCTATGAGTGGACAAATGAATAGTCTAGTGAAGACAAACATGTGACACCTGACACTCATGTGACAGGGGTCTGACTTTTATTTAAGAGATTGTCAAAGTGGTACCGTTTACATTCCCAACAAAAACTACAGTTCCTCCACATTCTCACCAATACTTGGTATGGTCAGTCTTTTTCATTTGATTTTGCCTCTCTAATAGGTGCAAAGAGGCATCTCCTTGCAGTTTTAATTTGTGTTTCCCTAATGACTCGTGATATTGAACATCTTTTTAAGTGCTTATTTGCCATCTTCTCTGGTGAAGTGTCTGTTCATGTCTTTTGCTCACTTTTCTACTGAGTTGTTTGTTTTCTTATGACTGACTTTTGAGAGTACTTTACATATTCTAGATAAAAGTCCTTTTGCATATATTTTCTATCATTTTGGCAGTTTTTAATTTTGATAAAGTAAACATCAATTTTTCATTTGTGGATTGTACTCTAGTGTCATATTAAGTAATCTTTGCCTATTCCAAGGTTGCAAGATTCCCCCCTATTTTCTCTTCTGGAAGTTGTATAGTTTTAGGTTTTACATTTAGGCCTCTGATCCATTTTGTACAGGATGCGAGTTGTGGCTTGAAGTTTTTGTTTTTTGCATATGGACATCCAATTGTTCTAGTACTATCTGCTGAAAAAGCTGTCCTTTCTCCACAGAACTGTCTTCGTACATTTGTCAAAAATCAATTGTCCATAAACGCGTGGGTCTACGTCTGGACTCTATTTTATACCATGTATCTATTCGTCTACCATTAAGCAAACACCATCCTGTCCTGATTCCTGTAGATTTATACTGAGTTTGCAATCAGGTAGTGTTAGCTCTACCACTTTTTTCTTCTTTTCCTACAGCCTTTTGACTTTTCTTGATCCTCTGCAGTCCCGTATGAACTTTAGGATTAGTTTGTCAATTTCTGTGAAAAAAAGCCATCTATCTGGGATTTACTTTGGAATTGTGCTGAATGTATAGACCAGTTTGGGGAGAAATGACATCTTAACAATATTGAGTCTTCCCCTCAAAACTATCTTTCTACTCCTGCTTATTTCTTGTTTAATTTCTCTAAGCAGCATTTTATAATTGTCACTGTATAGATATTATATATCTTTTGTCAGACTTATCTCTAAGAATTTCCTGTTTATTGATGTTACTAAAAATGGTCTATTTTTTACAAATTCAATTCCCATTCATTGACTGTATATAGAAATAAAAAGATTCTTAAATATTGATCTTGTATTTCACAACTTTGTTAAAACTGTTAGTTTTAGTAGCTTTTTTATAGACTCCATCATATTTTGTACATAGACAATGTTGTCTGTAAATGAAGACAGTTTACTTCTTCATTTCTAATATGGATGCCTTTTACTTCTTTTTCTTTTTTATACATATTATTTTTTCTTTGTTTCTTTTTTGCTGGCTAGACCCTCCAGTATAATGTGGAAACAGAAGTGGTCAGAGCACATATCCTTCTCTTGTTCCTAATGTTAGAGAAAAGCATTTAGTCTTTCATCATTAAGTATGATGGTAGTTGTTATTTTTTCATAGACACCTCTTAACAGTTTAAGAAAATTACCCTTTATGCCAATTTGCTGAGTTTAAAAAATCAAGGAAATGTTGAATTTTGACAAATGTTTTCTTTCTGCATCTACTGAGATCATATAGTTTCCCTTTTTTAGTCTGTTAATATAGTAAATTACATTGATTAATTTTTTACTGTTAAATCAACCCTGCATTCCTTGGACAAACACCACCTGGTCATGATTATCCTTTGCATATATTGTTGTGTATGATTTGCTACAATTTTGTTTAGAATTTTTGCACCTATATTCAAGAGGGATTTTGGTCTGTAGTTTTCTGTTTTGTAATGTTTCCCGTCTGGTTTTGGTATTAGGAATGATGCTGGCTTCATACAATAAAATGCCTTTTCAATTTCTGTAATTTGTTTGGAATTGTTGTTCTTTCTTTCTCAGATGTCTGGAAGAATTCACAAGAAACCATCTGTACCTGCAGTTTTATCTTTTGGAAGGTTTTAAACTATAAATCTGATTCCCTTACAGATATTAGGCTATTTAATTTATTCTCCTTGTTTTATGGAATTTGTCCATTTCATGTAAGCTGTCAAATTTATTAACATATTCTAAATGGGCTTGTTTTCTTGATCTCTTTTTCTTCTAGTTTGTTGTTGGAGTATAAAAATGCTACTGATTTTTCTATGTTGATTTTGTATCTGCAACCTTACTGAATTCATTCATCAGCTCTAAGAGTTTTTGGTAGAGTCTCTTGGGATTTCTATATATAGAATCATGTCATCTGCAAACAGGGACAGTTTGGTTTCCTCTTTACCTATTTGGATGTCCTTTCTTTCTTTTGTCTATCTGCTCTAGCGTGTATTTCCAGTACTATGTTAAATAGAAGTGGAGAGAACGGGCATCCTTGTCTTGTATGGAGAACAGTATGGAAGTTCCTTAAACAACTACAGATAGAACTTTCATGTGATCCAACAATCCCACTCATGCAGATATATCCAAAGGATCAGAAAACATCAGGTCAAAGGGATACCTGCACTCCCATGTTTACTGCAGCTCTACTTACAAGAGCTAGGTGATGGAACCAACCTAAATGTCCATCGATGGATGACTGGATAAGGAAATTGTGGTGTATATACACAATGGAATACTACTCAGCCATAAAAAAGAATGAAATTCTACCATTTGCAGCAACATGGATGAGCCTGGAGAAAATTATTCTAAGTGAAACAACCCAGGTACAGAAAGAGAAATACTGCATGTTCTCACTAATAACTGGGAGCTGAATCCATAAAAAAACAAATGAACAATAGAGAGAGAAAGAGAAAGAGAAAAAAACAACAACCACAGTAATATGTTGAACTTTTGTGGAAAAGGGGAGGGGAGTAAGAGAAGGAGGGGGCTAATGAGGAATTGGTCAACGGACACAAAGAATGATTGTGTATTATAACGATGTATAAGCTAACTATCCTGATATAACCAGCACACATTCTACACAACTACTGAAAATCAACGTTGTACCCCACATGTATGTATAATAAAAAGTAAAAAAATAAAAAATTTATGAACATAACGTTATGCATAATAATTCCCTTATAATCCTTACAATCTGTAATGATGCCACGTCTCACTTCTGGTATTGCTAATTTGTGTCTGCTCTCTTCTTTTTTGATTAGTTTGACTAGAGGTTTATCAATTTTATTGATTTTTCCCAAAGAACCAGCTCTTGGAGTCACTGAATTTCTCCACTGTTTTTCTGTTTCCTAGTTCACCCACTATTACTCTAATCTTTATTTCCTTTCTTCTACTTACTTTGGGTTCAATTTGCTCTTCTTCCAGTTTCTTAAGGTGTACAGCATTAATTTTAGACATGTCATCTTTTCTTTTTTTTCCCTGTGGAACATGATTTTATTTGGAATACACATTTTCTATCAAATCTTTAAAAACATATAAACGATTATTCTTTAAAATGCTAGTCTCACAGGATACCTTCTGAAATAAAATTAACTTTATTTTTATTTTTAAAACTTTTATTATTTATTATTAGCATATTCATTCTTGCAAATCGTGATATTTCTTTATGCCCTTTACCTGACCTATCACTTCCCAAACTCCCTCCCTCCCTCCCTGGCATCTCTAGTATCCTTAGGTTTATTCTCTCCTTCTGAAAGTTCAACATATTGTTATGGTCTTTTCTTTCTTTCCTTCATTCCTTCTTTCCTCCCTCTTTCCCTCCCTCTGTCCTTCCCTTCCTTCCTTCCTAGCAGCCAGTTATGGGTAAGAACATGCAGTATTTCTTAGTCTGGCTTATTTTACGTAACATAATTTTCCCCAGACTCATCTTTTCTGATATAGGCATTTCTTGCTATAACTTTCCTCCTATGTACTGCTTTAGTGACATCTTCAAAATTCTGATACTGTCTTTCCATTTTCATTCTGTTCACATGGTTTTCTAATTTCCCTTTTGATTTCTTCTTTATCCCAGGGGTTATTCAGAAGTTAATTTCTACACATTTGGGGATTTTCCAGAGATCTTTCCAATCTTACCTTATTTAATCCCAAGTAGTATGAGGACATATTTTGGTGTGTGAATATGAATTCTTTTAAATTTATTGAGACTTGTTTTGTGATCTATAATGTACTTCAGAAGAATGTGTGTTCTGCTTTTGTTGAATGTAGTGTCCTATAAATATCAATCAGGTCAAGTCAGTTGATTATGCTGTTCACATCTTTTATATACTTACTGATTTTCGGTCTACTTATTCTCTCAATTATTGAGAGGTGGTATTAAAATCTGACTATAATTGTGAGTTTGTGTATTTCTCATTGCCATTCTATTAGTTTTCACTTCACGTTTTGAAGATTTTCAAAAACACACACCTAATAGGTGCATAAATGTTTAGGACTGTGATGACCTCTTGTTGAACTGACCACTTTATTATTAAGAAATGACTTTTATCCCCGGCAATAGCTTTGCTCTGAAATCTACTCTGGTATTAATGTAGCCACTTCCACTTTATTTTCATTTGTGTTAGTATGGTATAGCTTTTTTCACTGCTTTAACCTATTTGTATTTTCCTACTTAGAGTAGGTTTCTTGTAGGCAGCATATGGTTGGGTCTTGCTTTTTTAAATCTAATCTGTTAATCTCTGCTTTAAATTGGGGTGTTTAGGACATATCCTTTAATGTGATTATTGATATAGTTATGTTTAAGTCTATCATCTTAGGTTTTTTTGTTTGTTCCATCTGTTCTTTATTCTTTTTTTTTTGCCTTCTTTTGGATTGAGAATTTTTTAGGATTCCATTTATCCCCTTTGTTGGCTTTAGTTACAACTCTACTGCCTTATTTTTGTTGCTGCTTTAGGGCTAAAGTGATTATACCACCTCACATATAGTGTAAGACCCTTACATAGTTCTTTGGATTGAATGTCCCCTCAAAACTTAATCCCCACTGTAACTGTTGAGGGTGAGAAATCCTACTATGGTAATTGAAAGGTGGGGACTTGAAGAGGTGATTAAGTAGATGGTTTGATGGTGGTCATGGGCATGGTACTGAGGGCTTTAAGGGGAGAGTGCATGAGGCTCTCTTTCTGCTCTGCCATATTTGCCATGTGATATCCCATGTCACTGAAGCCACCACTGTAGTGGATTGAGTTATGTCCCTCAAAACTCACTGAAGCTTGAATTGTCTCCCAAGTTTTATGTATTAGAAACTTAGCCCCTACTGTGACTGTTAAGAGGGTGGGAAATCCTATTATGGTAATTGAAAGGTGGAGCCCTCGAGGGGTGATTGGACTGCAGAACTATGCCATCGTGAATGGATTAAAAATGGTGGTCAGGGGCGTGGTTCTGATGGCTTTAAAAGAAGAGGAGAGTCTGTCTCTCTGTTCTCTCGCTGATCTCTCTGCTTCTACCATCTTGCAATGTGAGACCCCTGGGTCACTGTTGTCACCACCAAATGGACTTTGGACTTCCAAGGTTCAGAAACTGTAAGCAATAAATTTCATTTTCTTTATAAATTATCCAGTTCCAGGTATTCTGTTAGAGCAACACAAAATGAACTAACACAACCACCAAGGAAGACCCTCACCAGATGCATCCCTGGACTTTGGACTTCCCAGCCTCTGAAACTGTAAGCAATAAATTTCATTTTCTTACAAATTTCCCAGTTCCAGGTATTTTGTTGTAAGCAACAGAAATGGACTAACACACATAATATACTTTCGTTTCTTCCCTCTTGGACTTTGTGCTATTGCTGTCATCCATTTTGCTTATATGTATTCTATAAACTCCATAATACATTATCATATTTCTTTATAATTTATCTTTTAAAATTTTTAAACAATATTATAGTAAAATACATATTACATAAAATTTGCCATTTTAACCATTTTAAATGTAGAGTTCAGTGAGTTAACTATATTCATTGTTGGGCACCCAATCTTAAACTCTCTTAATCTTGCAAAAATGAAACTCTATATTTATTAAACAGCTACTCCCCATATTGCCCTTCCCTAGCCCCTGGCAACCACCCTTCTACTGTGTCTCTATGGTTTTGACTACTCTAAGTGGCTCTGAGGAATCATACAGTATTTATCTTTTTGTGACTGGCTTATTTCACTTTGCATAATATCATCAAGGTTTATCCCTGTCGTAGCATGTCAGAGTTTTCTTCCTTTTTAAGGATAGATAATATTCATTCTGTTGTACATATATATACCACATTTTGTTCATCCATTCATCTGCTGATGAATCCTTGGGCTGTTTCCACCTTTTGGCTACTACAGATTATGCCGCTATTAACATGGGCATACAAATATTTGAGTACCTCTTTTCAGTTCTTTAGAGAATGTAACCAGAGTGGAATTGCTGGGTCATATTAAAACTCACTTAATATCTTGAGGAATTGCCATGCCGTTTTCCACAGCGGCTACTGTAGCAAACCTACTGGCCCAATTTCTCCACACCTGTGTCAACTCTTATTATTTTCTATTGTTTTTTTTTAATATTAGCCATCCTAATGGGTGTGAAGTGATATCTCATTTTGGTTTTGATTTGCATTTCCCTAATGACTAGTGATGTTGAGCACTTTCCATATGCTTATTAGCCATTTATATATTTTCTTTGGTATTTATTCAAGTTCTCTGCCTGTTTTTAAATTGAGCTATTTGATTATTTTTGTTGAGTCATAGGAGTTCTTTATATATTCTGGATATTAACCCATTGTCAAATATATAATTTGCAAATATTTTCTCCCATTCCATGGGTTGCCTTTCCATTCTGTTGATTGTGTCCTTTGAGGAACAGAAGTTTCTAATTTTAATGTAGTCCAGTGTATATTTTTTCTTTTGCTACTTGTGCATCTGGTACCATATTCAAGGAATCAATGTCAGGAAGCTTTCTATGTTTTAAGAGTTTTATAGTTTTAGCTGTTATGTTTAGGTCTTTGATCCATTTTGAGTTAGTTTTTGTATAAGTTAAGGGTCCAACTTCATTCTTTTGCATGTAGATATCCGGTTTTCCCAGCACCATTATTGAAGACTCTCCTCTCTTCATTGTATGGTCTTGGCACTCTTGTTGAAAATCATTTGACCACGTATGTGAGGATATATATCTAGGCTTTCCATTCTATCCCACTGGTATATGTATCTGTCTTTATGCCAGCACCATACTGTTTTGATTACTGTATCTTTTTCAGGAGGTGTGAGACTGCAACTTTTTTCTTCTTTTCCAAGATTGTTTTGGCTATTCAGGATCCCTTAAGATTCCATTTGCATTTTAAGATGAATTTTTCATTTCAGAAAAAAAAAAATCATTGGGAATTTGAAAGGGATTACATTGAATCTGTAGATCACTTTGGGTAGTACTGATATCTTAATAATTGAGTCTTCCAGTGCACAAACACAGGATGTCTTTCCATTTATTTGCAACTTTTAAAATTCCTTTCAGCAATGTTTTGCAGTTTTTAGGGGACAAGTCTTTCATCTACATGGTTATGTTTATTTCTTTCTTTGTTTGATGCATTGTAAATGGAACTGCTTTCTTGGTTTCCTTTTTGGATTGTTCACAGTGTATAGTATATGGTTTGAAGGTACGATGGGTCATCAAAAAGTTCATGGAAAGATCATAGTATCTTTTTTTTTTTTTTTAAAGATGACTGGTAAGGGCATCTTAACCCTTGACTTGGTGTTGTCAGTACTATACTCTCCCAAGTGAGCTAACTGGCCATCCCTATATAGGGATCCGAGCCTGTGGCCTTGGGGTTATCAGCACCACACTCTCCCAAGTGAGCCATGGGCTGGCCCCTCATAGTATCTTTTAATTCCACTTTTTCCATGAACTTTCTGAAGCACCCTTACAGATCTGACAGAACTGATGGATTAGAGATGGGGTATGGGAGAAAAAGAGGGGTCAAAGACGATCTTGGGCCTAAGCAGCTTAGAGAATAAGATCCCCATCTAATGATATGGGGGAGGATGCACTGAGAGGAGGTTTGAAGGAGAAACTGGAAATTCAGCTTTGAATATATACTATTCCCTCAAATCCTTTTGGATAATTTTCCCCCCAGCCTTGGGAAGTTTCCTCACACACATGGGCTGACCAATACTCTGGTGAACACTCAAGACGGCCAGACCCTCTGTAGATCTCAGGGCTCTTTCCCCTTCTGCTTTTGTTCAGTACTGCATTCTGTGAAAGCTAGCCACCCTGTTCTCCCTGGACTTAGACCTGCTCTTCTCAAATAAGGCAGTCAACTGTGCTCTGCCTGGGGGTCCCCCTCTCTACACCATGGCCTGGAAACTCTCAAAACATTAAGATGGATAATCTGAGGGCTCATCTCCTTTGTTTCCCACTTATTGGGAGGGATCTCTGGTCTTTGATGCCTGATGTCTAGT